GCGGTGTATCGCTCCAAGCAAAGCAGGAAGGAGAACAGCGGGCAAATGATTTCACACACACAACTCGTTGACAAACCGTTTATTACAACGCACTACCTAGAGTGCCGGCGAAAGTACAAACACTTATTAACAATAACGCGCAAACTTAATCTAAACGAGATGACCGGCACGTTAGCGCCATGTCACCTTGTTAACCGGCTCAAACAATTACTTAAATTACATACTGCCGAAAACTACGCCGGCTCGGAAAAGCCTGGCGTAGCAACGCGAACCGTGAGAATCGCCGAGGAAAGAAAGAGATATAGAGAGAGAGAGGAATCGGTGATCTGACCAAATTTTGGTGGACGTCGCTGTTGCTGGCAGCCTTGAAGGTGTCCCACCGACGGCTAGGCTGGAAAACCCCTGGCTGCTGCGTGGCCGGCGACCTGGCAGAAAGGGCTCGATGACGGCTTCATGCAGGAAACCTCTTGACTACTGCGTCGCTGGCAGAGGAAGTCCCGTCCGGCCAATCTGCTGAGGAATGCTGACTTCTTCCCGAACAAAGGGCAGGCAGCGATGGTCACCAACTAACTCGTACGACTGATTGCTGTCACGCGCGTCGCGTAACTCACTGTCGCGAGTGCATGAGAGCCGGCTTCTCACGCCTTCTCCCACCACTCGCCTCCTAATCGGCGGCACGCGGCAATGCCGGTCGTGACAAGTGCCGTGCGCTAAGCCCAACACTCAAACTATTGCTTTTCTCTCTCTCTCTCTCTCTCTCTCGCACTCTCAATACTTGATCGCGTCGTCGCATCCACGGCTTCTCCTTCCACTCTCGTGCGTTGCTGAAAAATAAAAGGGCAGGCATCAGGCACGTGATAATAACGTGCGCTTGATGCCGGCCGTGCGCCTTTGCCTAAGAAGGAGAGGGAGGCAAAACACACGGTGCAGGCCATGACAGGCCTACACCGTCACATAATTTTCGTCGTCCAGGGGATTGTATCCTTTTCCACTCGGCAAGGCGCGGTGGCCAACGTTGAGTGCATTAAAGTATGCGCCGAACACTTGGCCTTTTTGTTTCAGCGCCGAGGACGGGCCAGCGTAATTGAGCGTAGAAAATTGAAGAGCGCGGAGAGAGTGAGAAAGAGAGAGGGAGAGAGAGAGAGTGAGCATTAGGCCTATGCAGGATTAGGCAGGCCCGCGACGCGTGACTGATAAGCGGCGCGTCATGTGCCGCCTAACAAATAGGTCAGGAAGGGATGGGAGCGAGCGCCGCTGAGCGGCCGCCAGACAGTCAGCGCGAGAGAAAAAAATGCGTGCCCGTGTCCAGTCCAGTTTCAAGCAGTGAGAAGGGAAGAGAGCCAAAAAAAGTGAACTAGGATTCAACACCCTTGATTGGCAGAGCAGCAGTAACCAGCTCATCGTCGTTTGCGATAGACAACTCGAGGGCAGCAGCCTTGTCAGCCATCACAGTCTTCCGGGACAGCAGCCTCCACAGCTTCTACTGCTCGCCGGGACAATGATCTCGCCGCGGTAGCCGCTCTCCTTGGATAGCGTCCCCGCCAACTACAGCAGCTCTTCCGGGATTGCAACCTCACTGATTGCAGCTCTCGACCGAGTAGGCAGCAACTCAACAAGGTCAAGGTTCTTTGTTCTTTTCTGAATCTCTCTTTTTCTCTACACTCTCTCTCCGGTGATGCGACGACCGGTGCGCATTGAGTAAGGTAGCCAGGCATTCACGTGCCGGCTATCTAGAGGTTCGCGCTTAGTTTTATTTTGTATTAGTGTTAGTTGCGACCGGCGAATTGTCAAGGCGCTCACGTGCCGGGTAATTCATCCGGTACAGGTTTCTACGTAAAATTTAAGTAAATTTGTAATGGGATAAGTGTGCGATTCGTTATTAGTTAGAATAGACCTGAAATATTTATTTGTGATTATTCTAAGTTGCTCTTTCGTTCGATTTCTTAGTTACTTGATTAATAATTTTATATTGTATCATGCGCGCTTATGTTTAGTGTGAATATTTGTTGGTCATTAATAGCCGTAAATTTAATCTGAATTTGAGACCGAGTAATTTATTTTATGACCTTCCTTCTCTTTTCTCCCTCAATTGCCGTGAGCGAAAGTGCCTCACTTACCCCGCAAAAAGAATTGGTAACAGCGCGAGAATTTTGTCACAGAATAAGATGCTCATATCGTTGTTTCCACTTATTACACACTCTTGAAAATCAGACTTCGATATCGCCTTTAGTGAATTCGTCGCATTAGTTTCAACAGTCTCTTTATCGTCGAATTGATGTCCCTTAAGCGGCATTTTCTATCAAGAAAATAGCAAAAAGTCGCAGGGAGCTATATCGGGACTGCGTGAAAGCTGGCGGAGCTGCGCAACAATAAATACTGCTGCATAAGATTTGATGAATGCGCTACAGCATTATTATCGTGATGGAGAAGCCAATCACCGGTTGCCCGAAATTGCTGTCATTTTCTCCTGAATGTATTGCACAATCTTTTCAAAACTTGAACGTAGTACTCTTTGTTAATTGTCTGACCTATAGGCGCTTTGTTAATTGCCTGACCTATACAGGGTGTCAATTAAGTCCCGGGACGCCTGAATATTTTCTGAAGTACTTCAGTTCTGAAAAAGGTCAAGGTCATTCCTTTAGTAACTTTCAACGCGGAATCCGATGGTACCTTGGATTTGACCTTGAGATTGACCTTCAAGGTTATTTCAAGGTCAACTTTGTTTTTTTAAATGGGAACCCCTATTTTTGACAACGGCAATCGAAAGAGCGGAAAATTTTACGTCCAAAACGGTATTTTTAAATTTTTTTTCATGGCCTTGAGAAGGTCGATTTAAGGTCAAATGCTTCAAAAACTGCCTAAAAGCGTTTTTTTAATTTTTAAGATATCGAAAAATGACCTCTACAAAATTTGTTCAGAACAGAGTGGGCCACCCAATGCACCAAAAACCTTTGACCTTTAACCTCATTTTGAAGGTCATTTCAAGGTCGAAGTGTTTTTTGTAATGGAAACCCCTCTTTTTGACCCCGGATTAGCACATAGCGCGAAATCCGACGTTTGAATAAGGTATTATGTTGAGTTTCGATTGATCCACGACGTTCATCGCTAAGGTCATGTGAAATTTAGATCCAATATTATTCGCGAAACAATTACAAAATGTTTCGGGCTAAATTTATTAAATTCTACTGAGAGCATGTTACAGTGACCTTATCTTTGACCTTTGATTGTTTGAATAATAAAGTAACGAGTTATCCAAACCGAAAGTCAAGTTGTTTTAAATGAGGAGCAAGCAGAGACATAGGTACAGTTTTTTTGCCGGATAAGTTTTTTCCACTCACTGCGTTTTGAATGTTTCTTTCTGATTTCGCGCTATATGCGAATCCGGGGTCAAAAATAGGGGTTTCCACTACAAAAAACACTTCGACCTTGAAATGACCTTCAAAATGAGGTTAAAGGTCAAAGGTTTTTGGTGCATTCGGTGGCCCACTCTGTTCTGAACAAATTTTGTAGAGGTCATTTTTCGATATCTTAAAAATTAAAAAAACGCTTATAGGCAGTTTTTCAAGCATTTGACCTTAAATCGAACTTCTCAAGGCCATGAAAAAAAATTTAAAAATACCGTTTTGGACGTAAAATTTTCCGCTCTTTCGATTGCCGTTGTCAAAAATAGGGGTTCCCATTTAAAATAACAAAGTTGACCTTGAAATAACCTTGAAGGTCAATCTCAAGGTCAAATCCAAGGTCACCATCGGATTCCGCGTTGAAAGTTACTAAAGGAATGACCTTGACCTTTTTCAGAACTGAAGTACTTCAGAAAATATTCAGGCGTCCCGGGACTTAATTGACACCCTGTATATTTAATTATAAGAGCATTATGAACAAAGTTTGTGGTGCATAATGCTCTTATAATTAAAAAAAACATACCAGAACGAAGATCACTGTCAACAGATGTGCAGCCATTTTCGAACCACCTATACCACTATAACATATACACTAACCGCCTATACAACTTTTTCATTTGTGTTTTACCCATACACTTATCTTTGAAGGCCTTTTTCAACATTTCAATAGTTTCCATACAACTTTTACTGAGGTTAGAGCAAAACTTTTTGCAAATTCGCTGTTCGGTTCGTTCATTTTTAGCAATAAATAAATTGGGACGAACGCAAAAAAGTAGTTTTATGCAAATACACGTTGCACGGGAACTAAGGCTAGATCTGTATCTCGGGCTACTGACGAGAAAATTAGGAGTTGTTGGAGACGTTCGTACTTTCCAGAGGTCATTTGAGTCTTTCCACGCGAAGATATGAACGTAGATCGGATGCATTTGGGACAGACCTCGTAGATAGATCAGAAAGCTGATAAAATTATCAAATTAGACAATTAAAAATCTATTTATTTGTATATTTTTATTTTATTTCACATGTATTGTACAGGTCGTATAGGATAATGTTACAAACCCAACCCACCTAAAAATAACTTGGACTTAGTTCAAATAGTCCTAATTTAACGATATCATCTGCGCGGTGAAAATATTATAAGCAGCACTTGATCTCATGAAAAAATCAATTGTTTAACAATCTTACTTAGAATAGCCTAAAGTGCCACGTAATAGTATCATAAATGAGATCGATAACTGAATATCAATAATAGATGTTTCTCTTTATCTCTTACATTGCTACTAGTCATTTCGTCAAAGCTATCGTATTATTGACGTCAAATTTTACTGTATATGCACTCAACAATTACGTTCGCTTCATTCTATTTAATCCTCTTTATTGGGGTTTTATCATTTATTATCAAAAATGTTAGTATAAATACAAGCGAGTGTATGGGTGGTAATTTTATAATTGAATATTCTATAATATATAAAAAATTCTTATGTTTTCACTCCTGATATTTGATGATTTTATTTTATTAAATTTCTGATCTTAGGAGTTATTCCTGTATATTCTATAATATATATGTATATGTATATATGTATATATTTTTTTAAACAGAAAACCAACCAAGTGGCGTTAAAACTAGAAAAAAAACGCAATCATCTCCCATGCAATGGACGAAAATTCCAGTATTAGTGAAAATATTCAAACTTATTGTATATGAGCTGAATTATTATTTGGAATTGCATTCTGCAGATCAAGAAAATGTGGTAACAAATATTTTATTATTATCGTTTATGAATATTGTGTTTGATAAATTTGTATGAGTGTCAAAAATTTTAAAAGACTTAGACATTTTCTTATTTTAAATCTATATTCGGCAAAGAATTTGCATATTATGAAAAATAATTTAGAAGTTGGATTTAATTCAATACTTAACAACGAGACAAAGTAGAAACAAAATTATATTCATACAGATTAAGACGGTTAGACGTTATGTTTGGATATCATTTTCAAATAATAGAAAAATTCTTGTTTCAAACTAAACAAATTTATTCTAAAATTTTTAAAATATGAAACACTTAAAAATTAAACATCTTTTTTTGTAATTTTATGAATACACAGGGTTTAAATCATCTTGATGTTTCGAAAAGAAATATACCGCACTTGATGATGAATGCGATTCGGAACTTGATTTTAATTCAGCACTTCTTTTTGTTACGAACATGAACTACATAAGGTTTGCGTTAACATTGCATATTTTATAACACTTTTTAAATGTACATTATTCTTAATCATGCTATAAGACAAGGAGAATGCTAATATGGTTAATTTGGATCAAGATAAATCTCCTCGTATTTTCTCTGAGAAGCAAGCCAGAGGTATATACACGTATGCATTCCATGAAATGTTGGTTAACAAAATACCCATAAACGCTGAAAGAAAGAAAAGCATAAAATAATTATGAATCTATAAAATACAGATGAACGAAGTAAAAATTAACACTAAGTCAAAAGAGAAAATTTTGCTTTATAAAAGGAATATTTTATTTATAAAAATATAATCTAACGAGTTAATAAACAATTGCTTGTATTGCTTTTTTCAGTGCCGTCTAGAATTATAAATTTTGTTTCATGGTGCGAGGCTAACTGACACCTTGATTCGTTCCTGCGACAAACTTAGTCTACACGCAAATGTGTATACGTAATTGAAAACGGCGCAAATGTGTATACGTAATTGAGGCGCGAATACCGTCAAGAAACTGACGAAATCAAAAGTAAGATGATACGAGTATGTTGCGTGTGAGAATTAGGTTGTTGATGGGGTTAGATTTAAGCGTAATCAGAATCCAAATGTTAGATTGGTCGTTTTATTCAGTCGACTATTGACAAAAAAAGAAATAAACGCAATGTTGACAGAGAGATTTAAAAGCGCGCAAAACATTATCAAATGCGTATTTGTTTATCGCAACGAATTACGAGAGAGAGAAAAGATACATAAACACGTGACTATACATGGACTAATAGCGGTCGTTCGCACATCGAAATATTTATCGTTGCGTAGGTGCTATATACAGGGTGTCCAAAAAGTTCCGGGACACCCAGTAAGTCCTGAGATATAACTATTTCCGAGGAGATTAAGGTCATTCCTGTAGTAACTTTGAACGAGAAATCCAGTGGTGACCTTGGTTTTGACCTTGAGCTTGACCTTCAAGGTCATTTCAAGGTCAACTTTTTTTTTTCAAATGGGAATCCCTATTTTTGACAACGGCAATCGAAAGAGCGGGAAATTTTACGTCCAAAACGGTATTTAAAAATTTTTTTTCTTAGCCTCGAGAAGGTCGATTTAAGGTCATATGCTTGAAAAACTGCCTAAAAGGGTTTTTTTAATTTTTAAGATATCGAAAAATGACCTCTACTAAATTTGTTCAGAACAGAGTGGGCCACTCAATGCACCCAAAACCTTTGACCTTTAACCTTATTTTGAAGGTCATTTCAAGTTCGAAGTGTTTTTTGTAATGGAAACCCCTCTTTTTGACCCCGGATTCGCACATAGCGCGAAATCCGACGTTTGGATAAGGTATTATGTTGAGTTTCGATTGATCCACGACATCCATCGCTAAGGTCATGTGAAATTTAGATCCAATATTATTCGCGAAACATTTACAAAATGTTTCGGGCTAAATTGATTAAATTCTACTGGGAGCATGTTACAGTAACTTATCTTTGACCTTCAAGATCATTTTAAGGTTATTTCAAGGTCACCTTTGATTGTTTGAATAGTAAAGTAACGGGTTATCCAAGCTGAAAGTCAAGTTGTTTTAAATGAGGATCAAGCAGAGACATAAATATAGTGTTTTTGCCGGATAAGTTTGTTCCACTCACTGCGTTTTGGATGTTTCTTTCTGATTTCGCGCTATGTGCGAATCCGGGGTCAAAAATAGGGGTTTCCATTACAAAAAACACTTCGACCTTGAAATGACCTTCAAAATGAGGTTAAAGGTCAAAGGTTTTTGATGCATTGAGTGGCCCACTCTGTTCTGAACAAATTTTGTAGAGGTCATTTTTCGATATCTTAAAAATTAAAAAAACGCTTTTAGGCAGTCTTTCAAGCATTTGACCTTAAATCGACCTTCTCAAGGACATGAAAAAAAATTTAAAAATACCGTTTTGGACGTAAAATTTTCCGCTCTTTCGATTGCCGTTGTCATAAATAGGGGTTCCCATTTGAATAAAAAGTTGACCTTGAAATGACCTTGAAAGTCAAGCTCAAGGTCAAAACCAAGGTCACCACTGGATTCCTCGTTCAAAGTTACTACAGGAATGACCTTAATCTCCTCGGGAATAGTTATATCTCAGGACTTACTAGGGTGTCCCGGAACTTTTTGGACACCCTGTATGTTCACAGGTACTTGCCTATTTTTTCTGGATATTGCTGTTGCAGTCAATGATGCCGATATTCAGGGTTGCTAAGTAAGTAGCTTCGATTATTATAGGAATCTGCCGAGAAGCTGCAGGGCGACCTTCGGCTGATTCACGCTAAGGCAGAGCGTCGAGCTCTTATTGGACATGATTTACCCTGAGAAAGAACCTTTTCTTTCTTTTTTTTTTTTACAAAACGAGCTATCACGATTTACTCTCACACTATCCCAGACTATACTACTTTCCTTCTTCTCTGCTCACGTGCCTTGTTTTCTCGTGTTTTCAAATTTTCGACTAATCCTTCTTGTTCACGTTCGCTATTCTCCATCGCTGTTGCTCCTTAATTCACGCGAGCATTCTAGCGAATGTATATTCACAAGTTGTGGTTGTAGAGTTCACCTGGTTGAATTTAGGAACAGACTTGGGAATAATCAAATCACCCCTTAATCTCATTTGGCACTACACAATTTTTTTTCCGTTTTTTGCTGGAGAATCATTATTTCACTGTTTCCTCAGCCCAAGCAGCGTTGCTAATCTCGGAATCATCTTATTCAAATGCGTGCGACAAGACATCAGGTCGTGTAGAGATGTCTTGAGATGCTCTACATCATCAAATGCGTACCTTTACAATCTGAGCACCTATCGAGATAAGCGATTGGTGGGATTCCTCATACTCTGGAACCATCTCTAGCAACGGTGGTTGGTTATCACTTCAAAGTCATAACGTGACAAGTACTGTTTGTACTTTTCAATGGCCCAAACCATGTCGAAGTACTCCCTCTCCGTGACCGAATAGTTTCGCTCAGAGTGTGCCTTAGTCAAAGTGCGACTCGCAAACTCCACCACTCATTCTAACCTGTTAACAACCTGCATCAAAATAACACCCAGATTCATATCGCTTGCATCGGTCTAAGGGACGAAATCATCATAAGAATCCGGCGGCTGTAGAATCATGAAGTACTTTGTCTTCAAAAACGTCTGTTCCTGCTCTTGACCCTACTGGTAAGTTACGTCTTTCCTCGTCAACCGGACTAGGGCACGATAACCTAGGGTAAGTTATTGATGAAGCACCGACACTAAGACATCATACTCAAGAAACATGTCAACTTCTTTATGTTCCTAAGGGAAGGATATTCCATAATGAGGCGCATCGTCTCCAGATTCAACATAACACTATCTCGGTTTACTAAGAAGGAAGGTACCCCAACCCGAACTTACCAATTTTAGTAATTCTTGTATATGTTCTTGTACATTAAAACTACAATATATTTATATTTTTGTTATCGGCGGAAGAACATATTTAAGGGGTGAAATCCATACTCAATGTTCACCCCCAAAAATAGTTTTTTTAAAATAACTTTTCTCCTAATCAATATTTTTTAATAAGACCAAGTGGGTAATAATCCTTATAAAAATTCTAACAAATTCTAATGTGTTTGACTTTTGGGGGTTGTAACTTCTATTTTTGATAGGTGAAAATTTGACATGAATTGAAGACATTGATTAGAAACAAAGAGCACTGAATTATTGGCGGAATGTGAAAAGAAAAAATTGGAGTCTTAGGAGTGTGAAAAGTATATATAAAAAGGTATCTTTTATCAATCAATTTTGGCATTAGGCTCACACAGTCAACCAAGGTACGAGGATGGGTCAATAAGTCCTTGGAAAAAGATAGAAAAACAATTTTTTTTATTTTGTAAAATAATCGCCTTTTAGCTCGATACACTTTTTCAGGCGTTCTTCAAATTTTTTTAAGCCATCAGAAAAAAATAATTTTGGGAATTCCTCAAAATAGCCATTTGTTTGTGTTATGATCTTCTCGTTCGAGATGAATCTTTATTCGGGAAGGCACTTTTTTAAGTTTGGAAATAAAAAAAACTAGGGGCCCAATCTGGTGAAAACGATAGATGGTCTACTAATTCGAACTTCCATTCCTTAATTTTAACCATTGAAACTAAACAGGTGTGCACTCGTGCATTGTTTTGATGAAACAGAATTTTTGTTGTTCAAATGAGGAGGTTTTTCCTTTATTTTCTCGCTTAATCAGCCCAACAACAACGCATAATACTCTCCGGTGATTGTTTGTCCTTTTTCTAAATAACTGACGAAGATAATTCCACGTGCATTCCAAAAAACAGTGGCCATAACCTTACCGGCCGATTTCACTATCTTTGCCTTGTTTACAGCTGGTTGACCTTTCACGATACTCTGCTTTGACTGTTTTTTCGTCTCAGGAATGTAGTGGTGTATCCATGTTTCGTCTACAGTTATAAATCGATGCAGAAAGTCGTCGGGATGACGGTGGATGTGCGCCAAGAGGTCTTCAGCAGCCACCACTCGACTGCGTC